GGAGGATTAGGGTTGTGGATGCCTTATCCAGGGAACCTTGATTCAGTTGTACTACCGCCTGTAGCAAGAACGTCGAAAGCAGGATGAGTTTGACTTCACAAAATGTATTGTCAAATTTTTCAATATTTTTATTGTTATTATTGTAGTTTGTTAGACACTTCATACGAATTTTCTTCTTGCTTGGTTGGGAAGATCAGTAGGGCTCTGTAGTAGGTCTTTGTGCAATATTTTGAAGAGAAAGTTGGATGCAATGTTTGTTTTTCAAGTTCATAGTTGTTGTATGTTCCAAAATTGTAGTTTACTAAAGCATTCTCTTTAAATGACAATGGCAATGTCAATAATCAAGAACCAACAGAATTTGAATCTGTGCCGTCAGATCTGTGTAATTACTTTGTTCTTTCCCGCTGATTAAAGGAGTATGGTTTATTGATAAGTTTAAGTTTGGAGAGGGAGTGGAAATTAAAAAATGTGGGGAAAACAAAAACTAAATAAATAAAAAGTTGAATAAGAAGACTGCCTAATAAAAAAAAGGAAAATTACACTAACACCCTTGAAATTTTTGTTTAATACAGATTCCTCTCACGTTTGAAAAATTACATTGTCCTCTTTGAGATTTGTAATCTCATTATAAATTGTATGTGGGTTGTTGATGTTATATCCTAAAATTTTCGAAATGATCATTTTGTCTTTTTTTCTTATCATTTCTTCTTTCTATTATCATGATTACATTCTACTATTCTTATTGAGTGACGATATACAAATATAAATTTTATATAAAATTTTCAAACAAAATGATGAGTGTTGCTATTAGCACCTACTAAAATTCTTTGGACCTCCAATTTCTTTGGACCCCCACTCTAAACCCTAAATTTTAATAATATTTTTTTGGACATCAAACTTATTAACAAATTTATCCATATTCATAATATTTTCACAATAAAATGTATACCCACCTATATCCATTTCAGCATTAACCTTAGCCTAAATCCACAAGTAAATGCACGCAATTCACACCCTTAACCACACCCACTCTCTGCCTCCCTCTCTTATCTCTCTCCTCATCAGTGATGTCTTTTCTCTCTCTCTCTCTCTCTCTCTCGACCCCTTCACAATCCTAGCTTTTTCTCTCTCCTCTCTCCAACATTAACCACATCTAAAAAGTGGTTCCTGAAAACACAATGCATTTACTTAGGTGTGTCTAAAAGATAAAAAAATTATTTAAAATATTAAAAAAAAATTAGTAAAAATAAAAAAACACGAAAATTAAAAAAAATTATTTTTTTGTGTAAGTTAAATAAAAAAAATGATTGTTATTTCTCTTGAAATGATATGAATAAAATATCAGTATTATTTTATTATTTTATATGTATTAAAGTTAAGAGACAAATATATTATATCAATTTGACAGGAGAGTAAGTGTAATTTTTTAAACATAAGGAGAAAAATCTATATTAGATAAAAATTTCAAGAAATATCAGTGTAATTTACTCATAAAAAAAAAGTTGAATAAGAAGACTGCCTAGTAACACAATAATGTGGTTTTAATCACAATGGAAGCTATTACCCATTATTTACTTGCAGCAATCTAGTTTATGTGCAAATTGAGGGGTGGTTTGGCAACCTAACAAAATAATTTAAAAGTCAAAAAAATCACTACATAAAGTAATTTTTTTTTTTACTCTTTTTTTTGGGGGGTATATTTTTTGATAAAAAAATTAAAAAATTACTAAAACGTCAATGTCCAAACCATTCCCTTGCAAAAAAATGAGATGCATTTTCATTTTAATTTTTTCGAGTAACAGCGCTCGGTTGGTTTCAATATAAAATATATTTTTTGAAAAATTCATATTTTCTAACGTGTTTGGTATTATAAAAATAACAATGTTGGTAGTCCGAATTTTCATTTATCGAATAGTTTGAATGTTTCAAAATGATGTTGTTTTGAGTGTAAAACGACATCGTTTTAATACATTCGAGACACACAAATTTGAGTTACCAAACATTTTTCTAACAGAAGTGAACTAACAATGTTTTGTTGATTGTGAAAATTATTTTTCATAATCAGCAAAAAATAAGTTTATTTGAGCAAAAAAAAAAAAACTATTAATGTGAATGTAATCACATAGAATGGACCCAGGTGACCAAAATTCATAATCAGCGATACAAAGCTGGATGTAATTAAATTTAGGGTTACAAATGAATAGAGGCGTTTGTGAACAAGTTCGAGTTTAGTTTAATAAAGCTCATTCAAACTTGATTTGTTCAATTTATATTGCGTTTTCGAGCTCGTTAAAATCTTAATAAATAAATCCAAACATATTAAAGTCTTGTTTGGGATGTGGGTTGATTTTTTGACTTTTTGGCTATTTTAGCCTGGGGATAAAATGTCTCGTTTGAGATAAATTTTTTGATTTTTTTGACTTTTGTGAGAAAAAAAATAAAATGATTATTGTTTGAATTTGGGCTAAAAACCTTATTTTATCTTTTTGTGGCTATTTTAACCAAAAAGTCCCATTTTAGCTTATGTCAACGAAGGCTAAAGCTCGGCTTGTTAACTCTTTGTTTAATATTTATTTAAATAATAAAATAAATATATAATTATTTATTTATGTATAAAAATAGGATAAATATGGTATTAATATATTTAAATAATGTAAATAATAACTAAATTTATTTATACGTAAATATTAGCCAACTATAGATAATACATTTATATAATATTGATGGTAGATATTATTATTTTGGTAAGATATTGACTTTTCTTTTAATATTATATATAATTGTATAATTAAAATTTCAATTGTAACTTTAATCTCATATGCAAGTATGAATTAATAATTTCTTTGGCTCGTTAAGATTCATGAACAAGCTCGAGTTCAAGTCAAACATGAACCAACTCAACTCAAGTTTGGTTCGTCGAATTTTCATTGAACTCAAACTCGAATTCGTTAGAATTTTAATAAACAAACTCAAAACATACAACAGTTCATCTCGGTTTGACTTGGTTCATTTGCAACTAGCTAGTACACAAAAAAAACATTATATGAAATAGTTTTATGTAAAGAAATATTTTTCACCGAAATAAACGAAAGTTGAATTTGGCAAATGTGCATTTTACCACGAGTAGGTACTTAAATAATCTATCAAATTATATACCGAACTTTTACATGGGTGTGAGACCCGCACACATGTAGATTTGTGTAGATCCCACATCCATGTAAGAGGTTTGATAAAAAATTTAATAGATTATTTAGAGTCTATAGCATTTTTCTTTTACCACGTGATGGCTTTATGGTTTTATCCAAAGATTTCATTCTATTGTAATAAATATCAGGCAATTAGTTCAGAGCATTATTTCCACATGGAAACAGAACAAGAGAGCTTGGAAGCATTCTTCTCCCTCCAATAACAATCTCAAAAACAAAAGATACAAATGCCAAATGGAAATATCCCAAAAACACAAGGATTACAAAAATAAGGGCTATTCATCTCTAGCAGCCCTGCTTGTTCCTGAAACACAATCCTAACAGGCCAATCCATCTCATATCTGGCTAACAAACTCAATCAAAGAGCCCAAAAAAAAAAGGAATTACAGAGATTACAACAAACGACGATTCAATGTAGTCATCGTTGAAAGAATATCGGAGTCTTTAACTAGCCGAAGAATTAGGTTTGTGGGAACTTGATAATCACACAACCTTTATTACTTGGACCTGATGGGAGGGGACATGCAACCCAACAAGGAAAAAGTATGGTGAAAATCTCTAGCAGAACTCATGGCAAAGTAACTGAGCACAGAGACTAGGGTTCATGAACTTGCTTTCTCCATCAGTTAGCTGCGTCCCGACTGTAGTACTGATCGAGGGTCTTTGCTGGTATACGGTGGAGAAGCTCACGTGGGAAGATTCGAAGCAGTGTCCATGCTAGGTCAAGTGACTGGAAGATGTTGCGGGTATCATAGGCTCCTTGAGCAACGAATTTCCTCTCGAATTTGTCTAGGAACTCCAGATACAGCTGTTTTATTCATGACAATTGGTTAGTTGTTTTAAAGAAAAGTTTATGGGACTAATTAGGTTATAATATACTTTAGTGGACCTAATGGGTTATAACAACTCTAGAATGAATTTATCAATAAAAATCTCTTTTAACTTATGTCAAACGAAGGCTAAAGCTTGGCTTGTTAACTCTTTGTTTAATATTTATTTAAATAATAAAATAAATATATAATTATTTATTTATGTATAAAAATAGGATAAATATGGTATTAATATATTTAAATAATGTAAATAATAACTAAATTTATTTATACGTAAATATTAGCCAACTATAGATAATATATTTATATAATATTGATAGTAGATATTATTATTTTGGTAAGATATTAACTTTTCTTTTAATATTATATATAATTGTATAATTAAAATTTCAATTGTAACTTTAATCTCACATACAAGCATGAATTAATAATTTCTTTAGCTCGTTAAGATTCATGAACAAGCTCGAGTTCAAGTCAAACATGAACCAACTCAACTCAAGTTTGGTTCATTGAATTTTCATTGAACTCAAACTCGAATTCGTTAAAATTTTAATAAACAAACTCAAAACATACAACAGTTCATCTCGGTTTGACTTGGTTCATTTGCAACTAGCTAGTACACAAAAAAAAACATTATATGAAATAGTTTTATGTAAAGAAATATTTTTCACCGAAATAAACAAAAGTTGAATTTGGCAAATGTGCATTTTACAACGAGTAGGTACTTAAATAATCTATCAAATTATATACCAAACTTTTACATGGGTGTGAGACCCGCACACATGTATGTTTGTGTAAATCCCACATCCATGTAAGAGGTTTGATAAAAAATTTAATAGATTATTTAGAGTCTATAGCATTTTTCTTTTACCACGTGATGGTTTTATGGTTTTATCCGAAGATTTCATTCTATTGTAATAAATATCAGGCAATTAGTTCAGAGCATTATTTCCACATGGAAACAGAACAAGAGAGCTTGGAAGCATTCTTCTCCCTCCAATAACAATCTCAAAAACAAAAGATACAAATGCCAAATGGAAATATCCCAAAAACACAAGGATTACAAAAATAAGGGCTATTCAATCTCTAGCAGCCCTGCTTGATCCTGAAACACAATCCTAACAGGCCAATCCATCTCATATCTGGCTAACAAACTCAATCAAAGAGCCAAAAAACAAAAAGGAATTACAGAGATTACAACAAACGACGATTCAATGTAGTCATCGTTGAAAGAATATCGGAGTCTTTAACTAGCCGAAGAATTAGGTTTGTGGGAACTTGATAATCACACAACCTTTATTACTTGGACCTGATGGGAGGGGACATGCAACCCAACAAGGAAAAAGTATGGTGAAAATCTCTAGCAGAACTCATGGCAAAGTAACTGAACACAGAGACTAGGGTTCATGAACTTGCTTTCTCCATCAGTTAGCTGCGTCCCGACTGTAGTACTGATCGAGGGTCTTTGCTGGTATACGGTGGAGAAGCTCACGTGGGAAGATTCGAAGCAGTGTCCATGCTAGGTCAAGTGACTGGAAGATGTTGCGGGTATCATAGGCTCCTTGAGCAACGAATTTCCTCTCGAATTTGTCTAGGAACTCCAGATACAGCTGTTTTATTCATGACAATTGGTTAGTTGTTTTAACAAGAACTATTTATGATAAAACAAAAAAGTAATTAACAAGTGTCAGACCAGATCCTCAGAAGAGAGTGCTTCTTCTCCAACCACGGCTTTCATTGCCTGGACATCCTTCCCGATGGCATAGTTTGCATATAACTGAGAGTAAAAAATTATCAGTGTACGATGTAAGGAAAGAGAATCCATTGACAAAAGTTTATTTACTAGATTATATACAACTATAGCTACAAGGAGAAGATTAGAGACACCAAAAAATTGACAGCTTAATGTGCTTTAGGCGGTCAATTTTTCAGTGTTTGTAGAGTTATTGTAGCTACAAACCTGGTTGGACACATCAGAATGATCCCTGCGAGTCATCCCCTCACCAATGGCACTCTGCAATAATAGTAAAAATAAGATTCAAGGCAAGCCCTCAATTATACTTTTGCTATTATTTCAATATCAGGAAATCAATCTGTCACATCTTACGGGGGTGTCAATGTAATTTCAAAAAGAACATGTCAGTGAAATTATTAGAAACTAGAACAGGTCTTATTGTAATTTGTCCTTGTAAATAAGGTTTTTCTAACATAACGTTAGTACAAGGTGGGATTATGTCAACAATATAAGTTACTCTCTCTTAGAAAGAGAGAGTCTCGAATTTTTTATTGATCACATACACGGTGGGGTGGAAAACTGGTGAAATCTCGCAAAAAATGCAATTTTGGAAACCTAGTATTTTGTCTTTAAAGAAAAACAATCTCAGAAGTCTCTTTGTCGACTCAATCTTTCTTAAATTGATGAAAAGACCAATACAACTACTACCACTAATACTAATAATAATTAAATAAATATGACAGACAGTATGCTCACCTTCATTAGACGAGACAAGGATGGAAGCACATTGATTGGTGGGTATATCTGTACAGTTCAAAAAAGACAACTTTTAGTTTAAAAGTTTATAAGCTATTCACTGTCGATCTATCATTCCCCAACTTAATATGGTTCATTAATAAGAATCCAAGATGAGCATCCTTGATGGATGTAGAGCGTTCTATAATTTGGAAATGAACCAAGTCAGAATTAATGTTGATTTCTTCTATGTTATTCATAAAACTGTTCAATAATCAACTGAGCTATAGGCAGCAGTAGAGTTGAGAAGTATGCCCCCAAGTCACACCTTGATGAACCAAACATATACATTCAGACTACTTCAAAACCATCAAAGCTATTGATTGAAAGATATTGAACATATAGTCTACTAGAAATTTGCTAAGGCCACAAGCAAACTTTTCCCTACCATGCAGTGCCTTATTCCCTAATATATGTATATGGCAGCTGGTGAGACTGAAAAGTTTGCATGCACGCCATTTTACAGCCTAGCACAATTTTGAAGTTAGATTTCCAAGCACCAAGCAAGCAAATTTGATGATCTTAATAAATCTGCTCTGCAATCTTACTTGTCGATTGTGGAGCTGTCTGTCAATATAGATCTGCCCCTCTGTAATATATCCCGTTAGATCCGGAGTGGGATGTGTGATATCTGACCAACAATAAATCAAGTTCAGAAGTAGTGTAACTACTAAAGCTCAAAAGAGTGATATACTAATACGCCAGGCAGTTGAGAATGTGTGTTACCATCATTGGGCATGGTTAAAATTGGAATTTGTGTGATGGACCCCTTTCGTCCCTCAATTCGTCCAGCACGCTCATAGATTGTTGCCAAATCAGTATACATATACCCAGGATACCCACGCCTTCCTGGCACTTCCTCTCTTGCAGCAGATACCTATAGAAGCCATTAGTTTGTCTCATCCCAATAATCTCAGAAAGTACTTGAGAAATTGTTACAGTGAAACTTGACCAAGATGGTCAAAACAGAAGTTTTGTAATATAAATTTTGAAACACAATTTTTGGAAGCCTTTTATAGTCCAAAAAATTAATGCTGATCAAATAAAAAAATTCTACAAATTGAAGGAATCTTATTAGTGGGCAGAATCACCAAAAGATAGTATAAGAGGTTACAAACGCGATTATTCAATTTATATGTTGGCATATGCTGTTGAGTTGCGTCATGGACAGTGTAAGGTACAATTGTACATGATTACCTCACGAAGGGCATCAGCATAAGAACTCATATCTGTTAATATGACAAGAACATGCTTTCCACATTCATATGCCAAATATTCTGCAGTGGTCAGAGCAATCCGGGGAGTAATAATACGTTCAATTGTAGGGTCATTTGCCTGCACAAAGTGAATACCAGAAACAAATTATATAAATCCCAGTATTTCACCCTAATTTTAATAGTATAAAATTTCTAGTATGACAGTGCAAGAAATTGATTCAAGGAAGCAATTCCCACAAAAAGTTTGAAACCTAATTTTAGAAAATTACCAGATTTAGAAAAAGGGTCACTCTTTCCATTGATCCATTTTCCTCAAAATCACGTTTAAAAAACTGTGCTGTCTCCATGTTGACTCCCATAGCTGCAAACACAATGGCAAAATTGTCCTCTTCCTCATCCTGTAAAATTGTTGTCAGGCCAATGAGAATAATCTCATTATAAATTAAATCATCAAAGGGAATACAAAAAAAACAAAGGACAAATAATTCCAAATGACCACCTACCCAAGTACTGAAGTGAAAATAAACAAAAATATCTCACTAACACTTAACTCAAACCAGTTGGACTCAGGTAATTTTGGCAGTATTTTATCCGGTAAGAAGTTGTAACTTCACTTTGAACCACAGCATAGTGCATACACATTGGAATCCAGTTCTTAATCATTCCAAATAATTAAATTCAGTATCAAACAGTTACAACAAGAAGAAAAAAACACACACACAAAGCCTCCCGTGAAGCTCAACAAACAAGCCAAGCGTACAAGGCCGAAAGGACAAAAAAAGAAGAAGACCATCGTCCCTATCACAACCACAACCACCCCCATCATCGACTGCATACCCCCACTACTTCTCCTATATGTCTCGCTTCTATACATCTGACCTCCCCTTCACCTGAGCTTCTACCTAACTCCATCCTTTTCTGAATAAATTTTCAGCCCTTGGGGCCTTTTACGGAGAACAGGTCTTAAAAGCCCTCCATGTTGCCTTCTAAACTGGAGAGGCCTTTTGGCCATCTAGGAGAGCCCAAACCTGTCACCTTCCTCACTAACCCCGGCCCAATCTACAAGTGAAACAGAAAATGTAAATACTACCATTCGAGCAGCCCAAGCAAGACTGCAACCTGCCAAACTACTTTCCAGGCCCGGTTGGCCCGCATTTGAGCTCATTCATTGGCCCATCAAGCTTCAAACCCAATCCTTCCCCAAGCCTTTTTTTATTTATTTTATCACAAGGCCTCAACACAATAATCGGCCATTTCCCCAGCAACAGAAAAGCTTCCATTCCTCAACTGGCCCACAATACCCAGTCTACACCATCTGACCCTTTCTTCTTCCACCACCTGTCCCCCATATATTATTATTCCTCCAAAATTCAAACGCCTGGACTTCTTCCCCTTTCAAGATCACTCTGCCACTTTCCCATTCCCAATAAACTATCTTCTACATGATCCACACGCTTTTGGAGCAAGAGCCTCCAGCTCCTCCTTCCACCTTCTTCCCAGACGACGACATCCTCAAACACCAAAACTGTCACAGAACTCCTCCATTTGCCCTAATTCTACACAGAAAGGTATGCCAAAGCCCACCAAACTCATTCCCACCTTAACCGCACCTGAATCTTCTCCTCCAACCTCTTTACGAACAACCTTGGCCCTCCAAACACTTCCATTCACCTAACTTACTAAAACATTGTGCCACCTCCATGATCCACACGCTTTCGGAGCAAGAGCCTCCAGCTCCTCCTTCCACCTTCTTCCCAGACGACGACATCCTCAAACACCAAAACTGTCACAGAACTCCTTGTTAGAATTTACCAATTTGCTCCTCCACCTACCATCTCCACTAGCACCCACTTCACCTACCACCTCCACTACACTACACCTACTACCACCTTCTCTTCTATATATAGGAGTTGTAATACATAACACAAAATCAATAAATCTTGTAGTATCAATATACATCAATCAATAATACAATCATTTCTCTTTATACATTAAATTTCTACACTCCTCCATTTGCCCTAATTCTACACAGAAAGGTATGCCAAAGCCCACCAAACTCATTCCCACCTTAACCGCACCTGAATCTTCTCCTCCAACCTCTTTACGAACAACCTTGGCCCTCCAAATACTTCCATTCACCTAACTTACTAAACCATTGTGCCACCTCCATCCAACCCCCTAGCCCTTCCATCTCAGGTGAATTGACGTATTGACTCCTCCTAACAATCACGACACTCACACATAAATACCGACTCCCCTATTTGAGGGACTTCTAACCTCATCCACCTCGACCAGCCACCCATTTGAAGGAAGAAACCATAACCAGCCATTGATGAAGCCTCCTTCAGCATCAAAGTGACCCATTTTCTTTTCATTCTGCACCCAGCATCAACCCCTTATACTTGATCTCTCCACATCAAAACCATCAAACCTCCTCCTTCACTGATCAAATCTAGGATTTCATCCTAGCCGCACCACCACTCTCAAACTCCCATCTCATATCTTCACTTCAATCACTCATTGATAACAATGGCAGCTGTTGGTTAAACAGAAACTATCAGGGCTTTTTGAATGAAGGAGATCTAGGAGGTAAACAAGCCCCAGATCAAAGAAGAACCAACAAGGAGGTAATAGAATACAACAAACCAGAACAAAAAAAGGGGATCAAAGAAGAATGAAGCCCTCGACCATCAGTGATCGAAGCCGTTGGTAGATGAAGAACAAAACCCTAAAATTGAGAGAGATCAAACGCTAACAAAGCCTTGATTGACACCCTAAAACTGAAAGTAATAAAAAACCAAAAGATCAAAAACGAAATAATGAAAATTGAATAAAGTAGAAGAATTCGATCTCCCCCTTCTGTCATACTTGACATTTGCATTGAATTTATGTTAACTGACGTTTCCCACAAAATATTTGTGAAACTACATACAAGTATAACCAGAAAGCAGTCATCCCAACCAATTTTGGCTACATCTCCCACATTCAAGCAAGTGATCCCATATTAACTAAGCAGAACAAAGTCAATTTACTGACAGATTTTTGTCTAATCTATTGTGGAACAGCCATAGAGCATGCATAGAATTGTGATCTTCCAGCTTTCAGTAACTCATCACATCAAGGATGTTCAATACTGAATCATTAATAGATGCTGAACATATTGGTATGCCAACGATACCTCAAGAAGACTTTTAGTTTTTTCCAGCCGCTTTACCAACCCAGCCTGACGACATATTTGGGCAGCTATTTCATTATGGGGAAGACCAGCGGCAGAAAATAGTGGAATTTTCTGTCCTCTTGCAATTGAATTCATGACATCAACAGTTGAAATCCCTGTCTGTATCATCTCTTCAGGATATGTTCTTTCACTAGGGTTGATAGAACTCCCTGAAGAAAACAAGTGACAGATTGCATGATATACAAATAGGTTAAACAAAAATATGTAAAGACCATTTAAAAATCTAAATTCATTGGTTCCATACCACCACTTACCAGAAATATCCAAATAAGCCTCAGGCAAAATAGGAGGCCCATTATCAATGGGTTTACCAGAACCATTAAATATACGTCCAAGCATATCCAATGAAACAGGAGTTTTCAAGACCTGCAAACACGTTGCAACTAACTGATGTTTCTAGAGGAAATATTAGATACGGGGGGAAAAATCGATTAATAGCAACAGGTGAAAATGAGAGCACAGATCGTCCTCATTTTCAAGACCTGCAAACACGTTGCAACTAACTGATGTTTCTAGAGGAAATATTAGATACAGGGGTAAAAATCCATAAATTGCAACAGGTGAAAATGAGAGCACCGCTCGTCCTCATTCATTGAGAATGGGGAAAAAAAAAAAACTTTCACAAAAAAGCCGTACATAAGAAATTGATCCTATACTCCATGCCACAAATTAAAATATATAACCAAAATGCTGCTCACAAAATGTTTATTTATTTCATATTCTGAATAAAATACTAGGGCAAGTTCAACCTAAAGTAGAAACTGATTCCTCAACTGATGATACATGGCACAAGAAGACTGCTTGTCTAAGCCTGCAGGTTGTGCCAGTCCTTCCATAGGTGAAGCAATTTACCTCCTAAACGGGGAGATGCAGTGTCTGATGATTTGCTAGCATTAACTTAAAACCGAAGATCAATGACAGCGGACAATTAGAAGGCACCCCAGCTACCAGGCATTAAAAATAAATGAAATTTCTTCAAGCAATATAAGATTTCACGTCTTGCATTCTATACATCACTGATCTCATGAACAATGATTTGTTGTAAATCATTTGCTTTGCCAGAAATATAACATTTATGAAGGAGAATCCATATCTAGATTTCAGAAATCAAATCAACTGTTTGCATTTGGCAGACTAACAGATTCCCCAACTCAATCAGCCAGGCATGTTCATGAAGGCTAGGATTTAAGAAGTTATCCTTCAAAAATAAATTGGAAGTAAAAATGGTTGCTAATCCCAATTAATTTGTAAAATTATCACAAGTGATTTTACTTTTTAGTTACTACACATAATTGTTCAAGTAGTAAAGTTTTAACAGTAGAAGTGCAATTAAGAAAAATTCTATACCTCCCCTGTAAACTGCACAGTTGTGTACTTGTTATCAATTCCAGATGTTCCTTCAAAAACCTGGTCCAAACACACAATGAGCAGCAGCACAATTATTAAATGCAATCACTTCCAAAAAAAAGAAAAAAGAAAAAAACCATCTTCAGGAGCACAGTTATTGACACCATAATAAGGCACCGTGTAACCCTTCTTTCAAAGACAAACTGTTTCCCATACCTGGTTCCAGTCAAACAGGGTAAGACTTTACCAAGGGGTGGCTATACTCCACCAAAAGCAATATCTGAGACTGCCTCATCGAATTGGCAACTCTATGCCCCTAAAATGTACTTAGAATGGTTTGTTGTTTGAATTTTGGTATGCATCAGGACATGTTTTCTCAAAGCATATATGATAATTAGAACAAAAAAGATTGTAGAGGAAATGTTATGGGAAATATCAACTAGTTAATTATTATTAAATCAGCATCATCATAGAAATGGCTAGCCTGAGCATAGTTTCGGACCAGAGATACATTAAACTTTGGAATTCTATACACCAAAGGGGAGAGTAAGAACAAAGACCGGAGGTGCAAGTACAGGACATTGCTGCACACAATGGCATCTGTCAGAAAATGACTTCACTGGAAGATAATAAAATTTTGCATCAGTAGAAGAAAAGGCATACACAAGTATCAACTTAAGAAAAATGACCACAACGTCATAACCCAACTTTCAAGTCATAAGAATCTGCGAATCCTCTGGAAAATGTTTGATACTGAACAATGTGAAAGTGAAATGGTAATCACCTGAACAACAGCCTTCTCCCCGTCAACTTCTAGGACTTGACCACGTCGTGTTGTTCCATCTCCCAAACGAATATTGACAATCTCTTGGTACTTGGGTCCCTGAAGTGATTAAATAGAAAATGCTTGTTACATTTCATTCTGAATTAAAATATTATTTGACTCAGAGAGCATAAAATTCTACCGATGATAGAGGGAACAATACCCACCTTAACCTTTTCAAGGATGACCAGAGGTCCAGCAACTCCAGAGACAGTCCTATACTCTGCAAAACCATAAAGCAGTACAGGTCCATATCACTGTAATGGAGAACTCCAAGAGAAGAAAGGAGATTGCTTACATGGAAATGAAGGAGGTGGCTCACCTATGAAGCATGGGTACTTCGAAAAACATGTCGTACCCGTGCCGAGTACTTATTGGTGTATGGTACCTCGTATGGTACTTCTACATATGTACCGGGTACACGAAACACGTATCCAAATTTTTTTCTCTTAATTTTTGGCGTACCCAGACATACTTAGTATACACCCAAGCCGTACCATATCTCAAATGAAATAATATTTTCTTTTACCACAAAGATAAAACTCCTTTCACTAGACTTTTTTTTTTTTTTTAGTTTTACACTTAGCATGATTTTAAAATTAAACTATGATTTGTAAGTTATTTAATATATTAACATTTAATTTTTTATTTATACTTTTACTTTTGACATTTAATGTTAATTATAGATTGTACCTTAATAAATTAAACCATTTAATTAATTTTTGCATTATCTAAATTAAAAAAATATTTTTTTTTTCAAGTGTACCAAACCGTACCAATACCTTATTTTTTAAAAATTTTACTGTATTGACGTACCCATATCGTACCAGTACTAGTACTCGTATCCGTACCCGTACCCATGCCCGTGCTTCATAGTGGCTCACTGTACGATATATATATAGAGAGAGAGAGCAATCAAGTACAAGGGATAAGTGACTACTTCTGCCTAGGTTGACACTGTTAGGGGCAAAATTTCCTCTGATATGGAGCCAAAGGCATCTGTATAGAGGGGTGCTGCTACACGGTTTGGGTAGAACTCAATCCTAAAAGCTAGTTCAAGAGGTGAGGGTGACCTCACGCTTATATGCTTAACATTATTTTGGTACTCAGGCGATGTGGGACTTTACTTCACCACGCCATATTCTACACTCAATAAACATTTAGGATTCACCGTTCACACATGCAAATGGGAAACATTTTCTATGCATGGGTACATCAAAATATTTTAAAAAAAAAAACACACAAAAAAATATTTCTCATGCAAGTTTGAGCACTAATACATGAAACAGAAGCAAACATGCATGAAAAAATATTACGCTGCCATCAAAACTCAAATTTATGACAGACTTGGCTTTCTAACTATGTGGACGAAGTATTCAAACAACAATATCACTTCCCAACCACTAGAAAACAACACGGCTAAAAATGTTACATAGAATAGTTAATAGAACTAAAACACAATATTCTAGAAGAAGTAAGCATCTTCATTTAACTCTATCTTCGAGATTCTAAATTATTAAATACTTTCGAAGACATAAAATATTTAAAAAATATGCATTAATTATTTGAAGTTTATTTCTTTACAACTTCGAAGGCAAGTACTAGAGAATGAGACCCCAACATCACCCACTGTTTGCCATCTAGGCTTAAATGCCACTCATTTGACACCCTTAATTTGCAGTAGCTCACGAATCCTGATAAATTCTACCATCTTTTTTCCTTTCTTTCCAGTTGTACGGACACCCCAAGAACTTTTCTTTATCACCAACTAGTACTATATATATATATATATATATGTATATATATCTCACAGAAAGATTTTATCTTACCAATGTGCCACAGCATAAAGCGAAACAACACTTCATTGCAAACTAAAGAAACCTGTATCCTACCTACCTCAATATTGCCAAATTTACATCCAATCTTGATTCTTCTGTCAACATCCTCACCTACTTTTTCATTGTGGCCAATTACTTTAAAATGTACCAACTAGACAAAAAAAAATCCAACTCTAAAACCCTTTTCAACTGTTTATCCACAATCCATTAGATACTTAACTTGATTTTCAGCACCAAAATAGAACGTTTCAATTTTTCACACACAGCATCATTAATTTAAGATCAAAATCAATATATATATGTGTGTGTGTGTGAAACTTATACATTGAAGACCTTACCCATGCCGATCTCCGGGGCTCCTTCGTCCATGTCGAAATTCGGTGCGCCCATAATCAACCTGAATGCACAACGAAGTTTGAAGCAAAATCATCAACTGAAATGCAAGCTACGGCAAACTAAAAGGAGAGAGACGATCGAATGAGCGAGCAATTGAGGTTTAGCTAGTGATGGGTTTGTGTATATATGTACGTGGATATGTAATGTATGCATAGAGTGATCAAATCGAAATAAAAGAACTGGAAATTGGAGAGGAGATCTGGAAAAAAGGAACCAACCTTTTTTTGATCTGAGATGGAATGTAAGAGAGAGAGAGAGAGAGAGAGAGATGGGCAGAAGAAAAACGGAATTCAGATCTAATGGTGGAGATGGAAATATCAAAATATTATTTTAGGAATTTTTATTGGTAAGTCCAATTTAGAAGTGTTTTAACTCAAGAAGAAGTTTATGAAAGAATTTTTTAATCTATTTAGTCTCATGCATGTATAATTTTATTTCATAAAGTCCATTTTCTTGATTTATACTATTTTCTTGGACACTTATGCCCTTATATTTAATTTTGATACCCTTATAAATATTTTTTCAACAATTAGCAATTTAATGATGTGAACATTCATGTTTTAAAATTTACATTTGTAGGAATATAAATTGGCCCGTGGGCGGCCCGAAAACCGCCAGCGAGCCAGGGCGGGCCCGGCCCGTTGACAATGTGAATATTCACATTGACATGTTAAAATTCACATTAATAAGAGTGTAAAATTGGCCCCCGTCCTGTGGCGGCGCGAAACTCGCCCGCGGCCCATGGGCGGCCCGGGGCGTACCCGCTCCGGCCCGTTGACAATGTGAATATTCACATTGACATGTTAAGCAGAAGAAAAACGGAATTCAGATCTAATGGTGGAGATGGAAATATCAAAATATTATTTTATTGACACGTTTTAAATGGTAGGGAAAAATTATTTATAAGTTTTATTTGAAAGAATTATTAAAAGGTAAACTGTTATGAATATGTTTTTACAGTTTGAAATTTTATTTAAATAGGAATGTGTTTTATAAGATTTTATAAGTTATAAATGAATGATATTAGTATATTATTATATTTTTAATTTATTTTTATATTGTATCTTAGTTTTTCATTCATCCTATCACGTTTGGGAATATTTTTAAGAAAAGCAAGTTTATATGCAAAAATTGTGCGAGTTTTTTTCGCATTGATCACGGTATTCCAGTGCATATTCAAAATGTTGCTTAAATGGATGTGGATATGGTCAATGATATGATAAAATTTGAGGGTTGTGTATTGATTCCTTCGATAGATTTTGACTCCAATCGATTGAGAATAAGAGATTTTTTTATTATTTTTTATGGAAGGGTGGTGTTGTTTGTTGAAGTGTGGATTGTTCATCTTTAATAGGGCATTGACAATCTATTACACTCATTGATAGACACACTTTGGCCAATGTTCTAATTGAATATGTGTATTTGACATTGTGATGGTTGATGCGTTTTGATATATTCGATGTATGGGTTCAAGGGTTAGGTTAGAAGTATTTGGTTTTGGTTGTTAATTGAATGTCGAATGTGAATCACGTCATAAAATTGCAATTGTACATTGAGACCTAAATGATCGTGTTACACTGCATGTTACATTTAGTATGCAATGTTAATCCACATACACCATGTAGTATATGACATTTGTGTGTTTGTTCTATTGTATATATATTTGAATGTGCATCGTGTCTTTATTGTAATTAGTGTTTCGACCCTGCTACATAGCTCGAAAGAGTTTGGCTCGACACCAAAACGACGCCGTTTTGGTTTTTTTTTTTTTCCTGTGTTTTTGTTGCAAAAGGAAGAAGAAAAAGAAGGGTGGAGAAGAAGAGAAGGAGAAGAGAAGGAAGGAAGGATGAGGAGGACTGGAAGGGGCGTAATCACAAGGGGAGGAGGAGGCGGAGGCAGGGCCGGAGGCGACGGTGGTGGTGCTGCGACGATCTCTGGTGCTGCGACGATCGGCGGCGGCGAGGCGACGGCGGTAGTGCTACGACGATCTCCTCTCCTCCTCTCTCTTTCTCCATCTCTCCTCCTCTTTCTCATCTCCTCTCTTCTTCCTCTCTTCTCTCCATCTTTCTCCTCTGTCTCTGTTTTCGAATTCGAATTCGAGCCAAAATCGGGCCACTTTTTTCGAGCTACCAGTCATTTTCGTTAGTGTTTACATACATGTTACAGTACGTTGTTGTAACATGCCCGAGGGGTACCCATACGTGTTAAATAGTTCAGACCCTTGATTTCTTTGATCTAGTTTCACGAGTGTAATGTGAAACATAGATAAAAGTCCATATTTGGTAGCTTTTATAGAAAATCCATTTTATTACAAAACCTTTACCAAAAATTGACTACATCACCAGGTCTCAGAGTCGCCACCTAATGTTTTGGAAAAATTAAGAAACCCGTGACTTGTGCCAAGACCACTATTTGTCGTAACCAAGGATGCTTGGCTCAAAACTTTAGGTATAAGAGGGAAAGGTCTTTGATTGAGCACACTCGCTCACCCAATCAAAGATCGGCCTCTACTAAATCATGATATGAGTTTAATTTACTTTATATATTTATATTCTGACTACTTAATAAATCCTAAAATTTCTAATATGAAGCAAACAAGTATAGATTATATCATTCATTTTGGAACAATCTAATTTCACTTTATTTTGAAAAAGTTTTGAGTTTACAAATATGAAAACATCAACATCATTCCAAATTAAGCAACATAACCTCCATCCACCGGCATTCATACAATTATATCAAATAAGCAAGTAGCCATATGGTAGAATGCTAAACATAGTAACAAAAACACACATAAGCAAAATACTAAAGCATAAAAACTTACGTATTTACTGACGTCCCGCGAACAGTTTCGAAACAAAGTTAGTAAAATATGCATGATCTTAGATACAAAATCCTAATGCAATTTACTCATGAAACGCAACTAAAGATTCGGCTTTTAATATATGAAATGTAAATCATCTCAAGAATATGAGGTAAAGCACATAATCACACATAAGAATTAATTAAATCCATAAATGCAAACTTTACCGAATCAAGATGCTTAAAACATGGATGCAAAACATGGATATGATTAAAAATAAACAACAATGATAGGTGGCCCGAAAAATCATGGCTCAAATGACTTGAAACACCCAAAACGACTTGTTTTGACACATTCAAGCCATTCGAACTACAAAAATTTGGGCCACCAAACATTTTCCAAAAATAAAATATGATGCATATTCACAAAAGAAAGTAAGTAAAAAAAATGGGATAAAGAGAAACAGGGCGAGAAATTATTACAATACTTTGAATAAATAATTATAAACCGAATCAGAAAGGAAGGAGGAAAATTATACAATCAAAATAATAATCCTCACAAAACTGTCAAATGAAAAGAAAATAAAGCTTCATGTGCCTTAGAGACCACCGGAAATTGGTATGCTCAACACTAGAAGACTACTTTGTTTCGTCCAAAATAAGCTAATTGGCCGGCCAACTAGGCTTAGCAAAACCTATCTTGTTACAACACTGAGAAAATAACAAATAAGGAATATATAGGTGGTTCAACTAACCACTTCTAATTAGATTACAACAAAACTAATATACAACTTAAAACAATAAAATGATTATAAGATAGAAAGTGTGCTTCTTGTTAAATTACAGCAAAACAATATTAAACAAAAGTAAGAAAATGAATTTGAGATATAAAATGCAAGATAATAAAAGAATTGAAAATTCACCTTCCAAAGAAAGATTAAATTTCTTGATTTCCTAACTTCTCTTGATTGCTCTCAAGGTTGTGAATTATGTTCTCAAACCTTAATTCAAGAGCTTGAAATTTGAGCTAGAATGATGGTTTTGAACAAGTGTATGATCACTCTTTAATCTTCTTTAGCTTGGCAAGAATACTGTCATGACCCAAACCTGCCCCTAAAAGTTTGGCGTCGTAACCAGCAAGTAATCCGATATTACGAAAAGTCTTCCTGTACAATAAAAAATAATCAAGGCTAACAGAAGCAATATACAAAAATACCAATGGTCCAATGAGCTGTGCATTTATATGAACAAACATGTACACATATAAATGTTAATTTACCCACATAACGACACAAACTTATAACGAAATATCTTATACAAAACATATGTACGTATTGAAAGTGAACATCACGATCAAAAGCTTGACAACGGCCTTCCATGCCTAGCCCCAACTCGGAGGCATTCAAAACAACTTGGTAGGTTTTAAAACGGTGGCTCGAGCTAAAGACCCCTTTTAAACTTGTCCTCCAGAATGCTCACATATACATATACATAAAAACAGTGAGTTAAAGCCTAGTAAATAACATTAAAGTAAAGGGGTTAGTGAACGAATTCCAAATATAACATATTCGTAAAACATATCATGACACAATCATTTATATCAGTCTCATATCAGAACATAACATAATGGTACATCCCACAGAACATATCACATATCGTCTTCCGATTAGAGTAATCGGTTCCGGATACCGATTAAATATATATCACTACAATGAAGTGGCTAACAAGATCTCGTATCGCATATGTGTCATGGACCCACATTTACATGTCATCCCCCATGACTTGGGACTATCTGTGGATGCCATAGTAGATTCGCAAACCAGATATTCGTTCACATAATTGAAATTCACATTTTAGAAACATCTCATATCATATAGCATTTCATACAACATTTCAAGTACAGCACATATCAACATATCTTTACAAAAATGTTACCCAAAGTGGGCTCCCTGTCGCAGTTGGTCGATCCTAACTCGTGACCTACAATGACAATGCACACAACACAATACATGTTTTATTATTACACATTCGTTTCATATTCGTTCGGTTATTCCTCTTTTTTCTTTAACCTTTCTCATGCTTATGATATGCAAATGGATGTATATTACATGTGAAAACCATGTAAATGAAGGCCCGGAAGTCAAAAAATGGAAAGAAAATAAAATTGGAAAATTTGCCATGTTTAGTCGCACGTGCGGTGGCCTTGGCCGCATGAGCGGTTGAACTTCAGAATCGAATTTTAGACAAAACAAGGTTGGCAACTCGAGCGGTCTGGGTACATTTTCAGTCCGAAAATCTGCTCTTGAATGAAACCTCATTCTTTCTAAAATCAAACTTCACTTCCATGTATTTTAAAACAAAACCCAATTCCCAATCAAGCAACCAAAAATCATGAATTAAATGTCAAAACCTAAACATTAAAGCTCTAACTCAAGCTTTCATGGAGAAATTTCTTTCAAATCTTAGAAGCCATGCAAGAAAACAAGTTTATGAACATGAATTA